TTGACACCTTCACAGACCGAGCATTTCAAATTCTCCGCCGACCGGGTCGACCGCCGCCTCGCCAAAGGTCAAACAGCCAAGCCAGACCTTTGGGCGCAGATTCTCAAGCGCTCCGGCAACGAACTGCTCACGAGAGACGAGATGCACTCGAACGCATCCCTCTTCATGACCGCCGGCACCGAGACGACCGCCACCTGGCTCTCCGGGCTGACCTACTACCTCCTCCGAAACCCCGGATCCATGTCCCGCCTCATGGACGAGATCCGCTCCACCTTCCGCCACCAGGACGACATCACCATCGAAGCCCTGGCGCGCATGGAATACGTCAACGCCTGCTTGGAGGAGGGTCTGCGCCTGTACCCACCCGTGCCCGTCGGCCTCCCCGCCGCGTCCCAGCCGGCGGCGCCGCAATCAGCGGATCCTGGGTCCCCGGCGGCACGACCGTATCGGTGCACCAACTGTCAGCGAACCGCTCGTCCGGCAACTTCGTCGATCCGTCCTCCTTCGCTCCCGAGCGCTGGCTGTCCCCCTCACACCGGTACTACTCGGACAGATTCGTCGACGACAGCAAGGCCAGCCTCCAGCCGTTCAGCACCGGTCCGAGGAACTGCTTGGGCCGCAATTTGGCGTACCATGAGGCCAGGCTGTTGCTCGTGAGCACGTTGTTGAACTTCGAGCTCGAGCTGTGCGAGGAGAGCAGGGATTGGGCGGATCAGCAGGTGTTCTTGCTGTGGGAGAAGCACCCGCTCATGGTCAGGTTGAAAAGTGTTAAGACTTGAGAGTCTGGATTAGGTCAGGGTTACTGACATTGCAGGATGCAGGGATCGGTGCTGAGCCCTTGGGGGGGGGTGGGGGGTTTACTTTGTTATTGCGATTGGATTGGAGTCGATATCTGGAGCCGGTTCTCTGTTTTACTCTACTCCTCTTGATCAGTTGCCCAAAGCCGCGTAAGACTCTGACGCACTCACGCTCGCACAATCGGTATTTAATGCGCTCACATCAAACTATACTATTAGGTGCTGGTGGGTAATTGGTATTCTGTACAATATCTCCGGTTCGCCCTTCCACCAGATTACATGCGGCATGGCTTTCAACAGCCCATACAACAGAAATGAACAGAACGTGGTATCAACAAAAGAAAAACAGAACAAAGAAACACACAACAGCAGCTGACATCCGGCATGCTCAAGCGCTTAACCCATGCATTTTCTTGCGACAAACAAAACGTATGCGTGAAAGGAAACATTCAAATCCAGTTCTGCTCTGAGTTACCATCTCCTCAACCCTGGCTGGGCGACGGAGCCTTGGCTAGTCGTCCGGACCTCAAAAGTTTGGGAAAGTTGGATTCGTTTGAGTGCGTTAGAAGCATATCCGAAATCGCTTGGCAACACAACTTTTCCAGAAGGGACGCGCTGCTAACGAAGTCCAATGACACTCTGTACACGGATCAGTATTCCGTCCTTTACAAATCCACCATCCGTGAATTCTCTCGCACACTCCACTCTCATTCCCTGACGGGTACATATGCGAGGCAGAACCATCCTTGAGGCTGACATCATGCACAGATTTTGGGGAGGATTTGAAAACTCATGGAGAGGGCAGGGCAGAGCAGAGTACACGAGAAACGTGTCACTTTCACCAGGATAGGGAAAATGATAGACTCACCATTTCGAGGGTCCATACCCGTCTGATCCAGACCTTTAGCGTTCCCTCAACACCCTCAACGTTCTCGAGATCGACGCCCTCCCACCAACAGCGGCGAGCGGGTTTTCGCCAGAACAGCAACAGCTTCTGGGCCATGCCGACGGCAGAAGAGTTTGCCAGTTCGCCACGGATATCCGTGCGCAGACGAGCGAGAGCGATGCTACAGATGACGGCTTTGTTGGGTTCTCCAGCGCGGTGGCCCCACCGGTCATCGTGATTGAAACCTCTGCCAACGGATGTTAGTTCGTAGAGTAGTCCCTTGCCAAGCGCAGAAAGACAGAAGGGTAAGATGATTTTTGCAGGACTCACCCAGCCGTAAGCATTTCAATCAGATGTTGCTCGGTAGTTCCTGGCTCTTCGCTCTTCCTCAGGCCGCTGAAGATGCCACCTTGCCTCAGCAATGCACGTCCAGCAGCCCTCTTGATTTCGATCATCTCGGGTTGTTCGATGTCCTTCCTAGGTGGGATAGCGTAGAAATCCAAGTCCTCTCTTAACACGATGATTCCGGCGCGATCCTGGAGCATGTCTCTAGCGTTGCCCGGCATTGGCTCAATGGCATGTGCGTCAGCCTGAGAGAAAGGCGATGGTTCGTCTTGGCCGGGTACGTGCGGTTCCGGAATTGATTGCGCAACTTGGCGGAAGAACTCGAGCATGTATTGCAGAGATGCTGGGTCATACTGGGAATGGTAGAGAATGTCAGATAAGTATACATCATCATTGCGAAGGATAGATTGTAGTCCGTCGAATGTTGGGGGATGAGCGACAGAGGTAATGACGCGCTGAGGCTGGGGGTAACTAACATCAACTGGGTAGACGTCACCGTCGTGGTATGAGTTCATGTGACCATCGGGAAGCAGGCCGTTTGGAAAGAGGGAAAGCAGGACAAATTCGGGAAGTGTGAGGAGCTCATCACGCGAGAGTGTGAAGCGTGTCCCTCTACTGATGTTAGCGGGCTTAAATCGTACTCCGAGATTCCATCTTACCGTAGCTCGAGAGTGATGTGCTCATCCGATCCTCCTACTGCACTGTCTTAGCCGTGACCAAAAGTGTGAGCGCATCCCAATCGAACCTGCTTGTGTGTTGATAGGCGCGGGTGCCGTCTGCGACACCTGCGTTATAATGCTTGCTGCCCCTCCTGCGGCCGCCATCACGTATGTAAATCCGTCGAGCGGACTGGAGCCTTCAGTGTATGGAGGCGGAGGCTCTCCGTCGTCGAGATCCTTGCTCGATGATCCTTTTGTGTCTCGCGGTAGTGCCGCCTTTGTCTCTGCAACTACTCCAGCGACCGACGAAGAGGACGGTTCTTCGAACGGTGGCGCAGATCCGGTGAAGGCCGGAGGATTCTCGGACGGCGCTCCGTTGGCTTGGAGAGTCTGATACGGGTCGACGTCTGAAGGTTCCGGGAAGTAAAGCGAAGGGAAGTTGTGGGAGGAGAAGGGAGGAGGGTCGGAGGATTCAGCCGTAGCTGTGTCTGTGTCGGTAGAGAGGTTGTGTCGCGCGAGGGTTTCGGCGTGCGGTGCGGTGCGGAGATTCTGTGGTATGCGGTGTTTCTGGGGGTGAATGGATTGATGTAGTTGAAAGGAGCGTGGAGTTTCGATCGAGTCGCGGTCTGAATCCAATGCGACGGTGTTATCGTTGGTCAACAAGCGGGAGGTTGATCGGCCAGCAGCCTCCTAGCCTTCTGGCACAGGGTTGCGCTACACGGGTAAGAGTCGGAGCGATGCACGGTGTGCGGCAGGACGCGCTTGCACCATACGCTACTCAGAGATAGCTGTGGGACTTTAGGAAGGCGGTCTATCGAAGCCGTACTGCACGCAGACAGGAACGATGTGATGTCGGCTCTGGGGCAAGCAAGCGCGCGTGGGCTCGATCTCTTGGCGAGTCGAATGGGAAAGCGTGGTCGGGGGAACCAGGAACACTGACGCTAAGGGAAATTGAGCTGACACAATCGATGTCGCTTTGACGGCGTAATTGCAGTCCTTCTTTCGTCGATCGAGTAACTCGTGCGATACAGTGAAGTGCCAGTTGAAGGTAGATGAAGTCGGTGAGCAGTGGCAGACAGCATAAGGACCGTTGCAGTTTGGTCAAAGCTCCCACTGAGCTGAAGAACAGGCGCTTGAAACGTCGTTTTGTCCAACCATTTCAACTATAAAGGAGCGGCCGGATCGACAAGGACATCGGCAAACTTGCATCTGACCGGCCCACTGCCACAAATGCGTTTTGCGGCACTCTCCAAGAGTTCGTGCCGTCACAACGCTGCCTCTTCGTAACGGGCCATCAGTTGTGTTTCCAATGCAATGATGGGTACCGGTGTGAAGACTGCGACACGCGCCATGGGTTCTCTAATGCTGGGCTTCTTCAATTAGGTCGAATACCTGTCATTCCGGATATCAATTGGAACCGACATCCCTGGAGTGCATGTATCGTCACCACGAAGAGCGGCCCGGTGCGCTCTCTGGTAACCAGGATCTTTCTCTTTTGATACCGGACAACGAGAGCTACCTCCTGACATGTCTCGGACACTTCAGATATGAGAGACAGGTGAATTACCCCGCCGGACGCGGAACTATCGGACCTTCATGCCTCGATCCCAGGACTTGGTGCGGCTGTATCTTGGACGTGATGCTTGCCAGACGCTTTGACAATGTTGTAGAGCGCCTCGCCATCGCCCATATCCATCTCGAGGCATGGTTGACAGCAAACCCGACCTGGACACATAACAACATGGTCCAGCAGCAAAACCTCATCGGGGAGAATCACCGACTTGTCGCAGCCAGTGAAAAACCGGCTGATACATCCAATCGCGGGATTATATATTATTCATCCATACTTATTGTCACGTTCGACCATAGGCGGCTGACAACTGGGCATCCCGTCCGCTCTGCCATACATAAGCAGTCGACCGACCAGTTAGTACTATAGTGGGTGACCATATGGGAATCCTGGTTGTTGAACGTTTTGTACCACGCCTCGGTCACAGAATCTCCTTTTGTGTTTTGTCAAGAATGGCCGCCAGTAGTGAGGTCAGGGAACAACTTCCATTCTGGCTTAGAACCTAGCAGGCAACGGCTGATGAGAAACAACAGATGCTGTTGGATGTTGGGTTCTGCATCTCAGCCGCCATGATTCCTTGGCGATCGTGCATGTGTCTGGTGAGCGATAAGAGAGGGTTTTCACCGAGCACTATCCACAAACGACCAGCACATGTTTGCCGTAAAAGCAACCACGCCGCATCAGGCTGTAATTCGAAGGAGTACACAGCCTACAGCGCGTACAGTACTCAGCAGGGACAAAAATGCAGCTTGCCCGGATCGAACGGGCGACCTTTAGATGACATGACCGAAGTCGGACTTCAGTCGTACGCTCTCCCAACTGAGCTAAAGCTGCAAGCGCGTGCCGATTGCTTGTAGTTGGGATGATCCCAAAATAATATCAATAAACAACACACTGATGCTATCATGTGGGTACCGTTAATCAGGGTCAAGACAATCGATGCCATTCCGCAGATTATCGCGTGGTTGGTGATGCATCTCGCTTAAACAACCCTGGAGGCATGACAGACGCGCTTGCACCTTCAGACAAATGTACGTAACTATGTCGTAGATGTGGTTTATCAGAGTCGCGAGCATCTCGTTATCTGCCCATCTCACATCGATCTCGCCTTGGGCGCCATGCAGTGGGTGCAGCAGTCCCGCAGGTTTATCGTTCCATTGATCGCTCGACTCCACAGATGCGATGAGCGACACATGACGCAACGCGGGGCAGCTACAAGCAACAAAATGGGGTTGCTTTCCATGCCCAAACAGACGTCAGACTCGAACTGTACCTTTTTCCCAGGGGTCGAATAGTTCGGAAACATGCCTGTCTTCGATGTAGGTGTCACCATCCCGCGCCGAGACGCAATGGGTAAGGGACCGGAGCTGACGATGTGGCTGCCCGCAGCTCTACCACGGCTACATCTACGGAACCTCGTTCTGGTACGCGCTTAGGGGAGCATGCCGTATCTACGACCCTCTCATGGTGATCGGCTGGTTCCGACCACCAGCACAGCGTAACCTTGCTCCGAACGGTGCGTAACCGCTACTTGAATGTCCTCCCTCGCTTTCCTCTCCACCAAGCATCTTGTTGACTCTCCGGCACACCGCAGACCTGGAAGTCTACAACGTCTGGAACGATGCGTGGGGCCTGATGACGCTCGCTGGTGTGCTGCTGTCCTTCGCCAAGGTCGTCCCCCACGGCTCCGGAAACGCCGACGAGTCCGCCAGACACGCGAAGCCGTATGCCAGAGCTGTCATTCTGGCCACGATATTCCACCACGTCACGACGGCGTACGGTGCGTACCAGCACTACAAGCTCGACTCGCACTACAACATTTCCATGGGCATTGGCGTCTGGGCTAATGTCTTCCTGACGCTTGTCGGCTCTGCCACCCTGCTTTTCGACCAGGACGATGCCAGGAGAACTAAGAAGGTCATGTAGATTGAGAATGAACGCGAGAGGGCTTTTACCTCTGTATGTTGACGAAAGAGCGGAGAGATATCCAAGCCGACAGTGCGTTGCTCGAGCGGTATCACCGGAGCTGCTAAAGGATAGCCCTGGAAGGGAGAGGCGACCTTGGGGTCAACAACGGGACATAGACACAACGATCCGCGAATACAAATTAACGAAGTTTCTTCCGACATTCTTCTCACTTGCCGTATGGCCCCGTCATCTTGCTTACTCCTTCCTTCACTCCTTGAACTGCGGCATGACCCCATGAACCCTTTGCCTTTGCCAAGGCATCGCTAAATCCTTGCGGTATAGCTATCATATCCGTCATGGCTGAAATCATGTGAAAACCCTTATCCGCGTACTCTCTCGCTTGGTCACCGCCGGTGCAGTAGATTCCAGTCTTCTTTCCTGCCTCGGTTGCCGCTTGATGAATCTTCGCAATGGCATCTTTTAATTCATCGTCCATCTTCAGGTTCATGATCGGGTGCCCTATGTTGTTCCCAAGATCGAACGGACCGATAAAGAGAACGTCCACGCCATCCACAGCAGCGATCTCCTTGACGTTTGCCAACGCTTCCTTGGTCTCAATCTGAACCACTGTTAACAGCGCATCGTTTGCCTGCAAAAGATAGTCTTGAGTCGTAATCTCTCCGCCAGAGCCGAGGAATTTCTCCATAGGAAACGGGCTACCGAAACCCCTCGTGCCCTGAGGGGGAACTTTGCGCTGCTGACAAGCTTCCTGGCATCGTCTGCGGTGTAGAGGAGAGGTACGATAACTCCATGCGCGCCAGCATCAAGGGCGCGTTTCACCATCCACGGCTCGTTGGCTGCGATGCGTACAAGAGGAGAGACTCCGCAGGCGGCGATCGCAGCCACGCATTCATGCATAGATTGGTCAGCGATGTTACCGTGCTCCGTATCGACCAAGATCCAGTCATAGCCCGTCCTGGCAATAGCACGGGAAAGATTCGTGCTTGGTAGCATCTGAAAATCTGCCTATCAACTGATTGTGCGGAAGACAATCTGAGGCATGGCATTACATACCTGCCATGCTCCGAAGCTAGCACCACCTTTGCGCAAGGCCTTCTGGACGCGGTTGGCAGCTTGCATGGTCGAACAGGGAGAACAAGACGCTGGAGCAAATCTGGGTCAAGCTGATGATAGGACTTGTTTTGATTCAACGCGATAGAGAAGATTCGGATGGATTATTGCCCTCATTACCCCGCATGATGCCCCACTCGGCGTTTCCCAGATGATCGGCAGGCGAGCCGCAAGTTTGTGGTTGTGAAGTACTGAACGGATTGCAGAACTGCTGGGATGGTATAAAGGGTTAACCGGTTTCCAAGAGGATTTCTCAGAGGAGATTTGTGATAGAGGCTTCAAGACCGATACTGGACGCAGATCACCGTACTGTGGTATTGCCTTGAGGAACAGTAGCCTAAAAAGACTTCCAGCTTCGATCTGTTGAGCATGCGTTCGGAGTCCTCTGCCACTCGTCTAACGATTTGACCTTATACGAAGGAATCTTCGGCGTTGACTGCTGGTGCGAGTTTGAGTTGGAGGCTCCGCGGATGGAAGCGGACAAAGCCAAGTCCTGAGTGCTCACTCTTTGCTCCGAAAAGGAGAGTGAAGTGGCTGGCAAACGCGCCAGTCTCGTTCCTGAAGTTGTCGGCAATACTGTAGGAACACGCGGAGGCTGTTCGGACAGGCTTGCCAGACCAGTACATCGTTCCGCGCAGAGCAAGGCTCATGATGGGGCGTTTCGCATAGCTTCATCCATCAACTTCTCGACTTCCTCAGCCTTGAAGCGGTGCATGAGTTTACGAGCCTGCGCAGACGTCTCAAAGTGTTTGTTGTTCTCCTTGGTCTTGTCAACGTGTATCTGCAATCAACAAGTCAACAAAGCGGATTCATCGAAAGGGCAATCCAGTAAACATACAACAGGCGTATCGAATTCGTACAAGGCCTTCCACTTGTCTTGATTCTCGGTCATAACATCTATCTCATCGTACTCAAAGGGGCGACGGTCCCAGACTCCTGAAAGGACTTGTTTCGCGTCGGAACATAGCGAGCAGTTGGGTCGTGTGAACAGTGTTATTCGGCAGGCGAAGTTTCGCAGGACGGCAGTTGGGAACATGTCGCGCAAGGATACGTTCTTTCTTGTCAGACCTCGAGAGACAGAGAAGCGCGCTACTTGTCAAATCAGCCGATATAGGGAAGAGATGAGAGATGGACGAAAGTGCATGCAAGGGAGCAATTACTCCAAAGATATCTTATCAGATCATACAATATCAGATTAGATGATCGACCATTCAGGCCTCCTCGCCGACTGACGATTGTAGGATTTCTAGTCTCAAGGGACGTCACACAAACAACCAACACCACAACTCATCCTGTTGATTAAAGGGCAGAGACAGAGATAAAATGGCGCAAAAGTGCGTTCACAAGGGCTGTGGGAAGGTCTTTACCGACGAGAATGAAGAGTGCGTCTACCATCCTGGCGTGCGTCTACCCAGAGACTTTTATTTAAGCAATGCTGATATCTTATAGCCTCCCGTCTTCCACGAAGGGCAGAAAGGTGATTCCACAATCCCGACAAATCCTAAACTCCTCCCGTCTGACAATCGACAGGCTGGAAATGCTGTAAACCACGCGTGCTCACCTTCGACGAATTCATGACCATCCCACCCTGCACAACCGGCAAGCATTCCACCGTCGACGATACACCCGTCCCTGAGAAGAAGCCAGAGCCAGAAATCCCGGACATCAAGCCCGCAGCATCAGCAGAGTCCGCTCTACCTGCAGCGATACCACGTCTGCCGCAAGCGCAAGGTCAAACGACACCCAAACCACCAGCATCGCCTGCACCACCAGAGGACGATTCCGATGACCCGGACGCAGCTGTGCCCGAAAACGCCAGCTGTAAGCGAAGAGGCTGTGGCGCTGGCTATAAGAGTGGCGACAGGAGCGAGGAGGAATGCACATATCACCCAGGGCAGGCACTCTTCCACGAAGGTTCCAAAGGATGGACATGTTGCAAGAGGCGGGTATTGGAATTCGACGAGTTTCTACGGATCCCCGGATGCAAAACAAAGAAGCGACATCTGTTTGTCGGGAGCAAGAAGGCGGGTGGAGAGGAAGTGTTGGAGTCCGTACGGTAAGACTGTCCAAGATATCTCCTCTTTCAACACTCGGTTGACGTGCGGAGCAGGCACGATTTCTACCAAACTCACTCCACAGTCATCGCGTCAATCTTCTTGAAGAAGATTGATAAAGAAGCGTCAAAGATTGCATTCTCGTCGGCAACGACGGTGGATCTGGACCTGAAGACGGCGGACAACAAGCGATACAAGCAGCAGGTACCGACGTATGCCGGCATCGACCCTGAAAAGAGCACTTTCAAGGTCATGGGTACGAAAGTGGAGCTCACGCTCGCAAAAGCCGATGCCACCAGCTGGCCTGTATTGAGGAGCGATGAGCGCGTGACGGGTGAGATTATCCAAATGGGAAAAGCCGGAAGGGTATAAAAAGGCAAGTGAGACGGTACGATGATGTTTTCGTCTTGAGGTCGATGCACCAGGCGTATCTTATGCATTGGATTGTCTGATGGGTTCGCTTCTCTAACATGCGGATGGAAAACGGAGGCCACCACCGGAATGCGTGGCGAGGGGAGTCCAGGCACGACACATCCCGTTCGCTCAACGCGAGAGCCAACCCACTGAGATAAACTCCAGACACCAAACAAGTAACCCAAAGACATAATACTGTCGCTTGTCACCAAATCAGTCTGTTGTGCAAAACCCCTTGCCAGGCACGTTAGCACTTTCGCTTCGATCGTTTATAGGAAAGTAGTTGCTCAGAACAAAACAAGGATAATTCATCAACGATCCTATCTT